TTCATTAAAGGCCAAATTCTCTTCCCTAACCCTTCAATGCATGATGCATCCAGCTGTTTCACTAGTAGCAGTTTCTCTGATGTCTGCACATTCCTGGTTGCCTCTTGTCCATAGTACCCAAAGCAAATATGCCTGACTGTGCTAACTAAAGAGGACTGATTTTACAAAATAAATTAAGAAGAGGTCACCAATTTGGCTCCTGTAGGGCCCCAAATCTTGAGTAATCTGGTATGCAAATACAGGGAACAAATTCTCTTATGAATATAAGAATTAAATTAAAAGTTCTTTTTATTGAAAGCTCTAATGTACCTTCCCCTATAATATAAATATTCCCAGGAGGCCAGGAAGACTACATAATGGGGACTCCAAGGCACATAAGTTTGGCCTCATCTCATTCGGGAAACTAAGCACCTTGTCTTGTAAGCTGTGCTTGCTTCTGGGTTTATCTCATCTCCCGGGAAATTGTGCTTATATGAATGTAGTACACCAAGGTTCAGAGGGAAGTTATAGGACTAAGAACCTCCTACCTCACCTAGCTCAGTGGCCCAACCAAAGTACAAGAAAACTATATATCAACATCTTCTCTAAACACAGATGCAAAAATCCTGAACAAAATATTAGCAAACTAAATTCAACAATATATAAAGGAAAAATATATCATGACCAAGTAGGGTTTATTCCAGATATGCATGGCTGTTTCAATATCCAACAATCAGCTACTGTGTAAAATACAGAGATGGAATTAATGTCACTGAAGGGAACACTTCAAAATGGTTGTGATGCAGTGAATTAGTGATTACAGTCCTTCCAACTATGGTCTTTATGACTTCCACCAGATGACTCGGTGGAACTATGCAAATGTGAGGTGCTTGTGGCCTAGCAGATTGGATAGCATGCTAATAATGTAAGTAAGGTGCATGGCATCCTTGTGGGGTGGGATCATGCAAATAAGGTGTATGGAACCCTAACGTGGGGATTGGTTAGTTTTGCCTTCCTGCCAGGCTTAAAATGACCCATCCCAGAGGCAGAAAAGGGAAATCTCACTACCATCAAGAAAGAAGAGCCAGGAGTGAAGCTTGTCCTTTGGACCCATGATCCCTGTTCTGAACCTCCTTAACTCAGGAGATGGAGAAAGCTGTAGAACTTTGCTGAGATGACAAGATACAGTGAGAGGCAGCAATAGGGAAACAGCAGCAGGAGACCCAACAGAAGACCTGGCAGAAGAACCTCCTTCCAGGGCTTGAAAAGCTGTACTGATTGAAGAATTGTATCCTGAGTCATTTCTGATCCTGAATTGTAACTTGTTATTTCCCTAATAAACCCCATAATCATGAGTATTGGCTGTGGGTTCTGTGAGGCCATTGCAATGAATTATCAAACCCAGCAGAGGAGTAGAGACTGCTGTGAGAGGCACAGTTGGTGCCAGAATTGGTAAAAAGGTTGGAGGGTGGAGGCATGTCTGACCTTCACCTAACAGGAATCAGCCTTGGACTGTTGATACAGATAATGATCCTCCTCCTATCCTGTGAAGTTAGAAAAGGTCAGATGTCTCTCCCATGTCATTTTTACAATGATTAAAATGGAAATTTTTTTGTTACATATATTTAACCACAATAAAATCAACCAGTGTAATCCAGCATATTAACAGCATAAAAAAAAATGACATGGCATGATATCAATTGATTCAGAAAAGGCATTTGACAAAATCCAACATTCACTCATTATAAAAACCTCAGTAGTAGCAATAAAAGGGAACTTCCTCAACCTGAAAAATGGCATCTATTAAAAACCTACAACTAACATACATAATGGTGAAAGACTGAAGGATGTGCCCCTAAGGTTAGGGACAAGACAGGCGTGTCTGTTATCACCACTCATATTCAACATCACATTATAAGTCTTAGCCAATAAAACAAGGCAACAAAAAGAAATGAAAGGCATATTATTGGAAAGGAAAAACAAAACTGTCCCTATTTACAGATGGCATGATAGTCTTCTAGAAAATTCCAAGTAATTTACAGGAAAAAATAAAAACCTCCTAGAACTAAGAGAATCTAGCAAGATTATAAGATACAAAGTCAACACATAAAAAGCAACTGTATTTCTAGACACTTGTAATGAATCCTGGAAATCATTTTTTTTTTCTGTGATTGGGAGCTCTATTTGACTGCTAACCAGAAGGCTGGCAGTTCAGACCCACCAGCCACTCCTCGGAAGGAAGGTTGGGCAATCTACTTCTGTAGTGATACTACCTTGGAAACCCAAGGAGGGGTTGCTATGAGTCAGATCCGACTCCACAGCAGTGAGTTTGATTTTGGTTTGGTTTGAATGAAAGTTTCAGCAAATTCATTTTCCATTCAATAATTCCTACACATCTTGTTTTGTGACATTCATTGCAGTTCCTACAATGTAGCAGCACTCTCCTCACTTCCTCCTTTACAATTTCTTTGTCCTTCTTTCCTAGCTCTTCCTGCCTCCTGAGCTTTTTATTTTTCTGCCTCCTGGACAAATGCTGCCCTTTTGATCTCTTATGGTTGACTATTCTAAGGAGTGTATATCTTCCTGGTATTACTGTTCACCTTAATAGGCCTGTGTATTGTTTGGCTGAAAGTTGACCCACTGGGGTGAGTTCAGTTCCAGACTTGAAGGGTGTCTAAGGGCCAGAGTTGTGGGGGTTCTACCCACCTCTTTCAGATCAGTAATCTTGGTCTTTTTTTATGATTTTGAGTTTTGTACCATACTCTTCCCCCACACTATCCAGGATCTCCTATTGTGATCCCTTTCAGAGCATTCCACAGTGATAGCTGTGTACCATCTAGTTGTGGTTTCATGGTCATGGAGCCTGGGGTTCACATGGTCCACTAGTTCACTGGACTAATTGGGAAATAACAATTTTTAAAACAATACCACTTACAATATCTCAAAAAAAAAAAAAAAACCTTGAAGGTATAAATCTAACAAAACATTTGTGGGATCTACATGCTGAAACTAACAAAACTCTGATGAATCAAATCAAAAAAGACCTACATAAACAGACATACCATGTTCTTGGATTAGAAGCCTCAGTATAGTAAATATGTCATTTCTCCCAAAATTGCTCTATAAATCTATAGAAATGAATCCCACTTCCCAGGTATCTACCCTACAAAATGAAAACATCTATCCACTCAAAAACATATACAAAAATGTTTATAGTAGTTCTATTCACAACTCAAATATCCTTCAATGAGTGAATAGATTAAAAAACTGTGGCTCATCCAAACAATGGAATACTACTCAGCACGAAAAGGAACAAACTATTAACATATGCAACAACTTGGATAAATCTCAAAGGCATTTTGTTGTGTTTAAAAAAATTTTTTTTAAAAAAAGCCAGTCTCAAAAGGTTACATTTATATGACAATCTAGAAAAGTAAAATTACAGTGATGGAGAATATTAAATCAAGGAGGGTATGACTATAAGGCATAGCATGAGAGGTTTTTCTGATAATAAAACTATTTTTTATGATTCCAATTATGGTTACACAAATCTATAAATGTGTTAAAATTCAAAGAACTGTACTCTTTAAAAAAAGTCAACTTTTACTGTATGTTGATTTAAAAATAACATCAAAATACATTTTTAAAAATGAGTCCTAATGAACTTGACTTAACCTGAAACAAGTTGTTTTGAATTAGACCTTAAGGCATTTGACTGCTAACCAGAAGGTTGGCGGTCCAAACCCACCAGCCACTCCTTGAAAGGAAGACAGGGCAATCTACTTCCGTAAAGATTTACCACCCTGGAAACTCAAAGGGGGTCGCTATGAGTCAGAACTGACTCAATGACAGTGAGGTTTTTTTTTTTTTAATAATAACCACACAACTGCCAAATCTTTCCTCCCTCCAATTTATTCTTTATAGATAAAACCAGAGGAGTGGGGGGACTTAATTGTTTAGCTGCACTGTAATTTTTTTTCTATGTATCAGACATGAACAAAAACTTCCAATGTACTAATAAAAATAAATGTTTGCAAAAATGTTCAAATCTATTAATACTTACTTGAGAACAATGTTGTTCTTGTTAGGTGTTATCAAGTCAGTTCTGCCTCACAGTGACCCTCTATACAACAGAATAAAACAGTGCCCAATCCTGCACCATCCTCACAATCCTTGCTATGTTTGAACCCAGTGTTGCAGCCCCTGTGTCAATTCTTCTCATTGAGGGTCTTCCTCATTTTTTGCTGATCTTCTCCTTTCCCAGGCATGATATCCTTCTCCTTAGACTGGTCCCCCCTGATAACATGTCCAAAGTACATGAAATGAAGTCTCATCATCCTTACTTCGAAGGAGCATTCTGGCTGTACTTCTTCTAAAACAGATTAGTTCATTCTTCTGGTAGTCCATGGAATATCCAATACTCTTTGCCAACACCATAATTCAAAGCAACATTTTTTTTTCAGTCTTCCTTATTCACTGCTGTTGGTTTTCATTCTGAGCTAAGTTAACATGACCTGAATGGAATTGATATCTAAGAGGAGAGAAGCTGGACATCTGGTTGAGCACAGCAAACTGGCTCACTGATTTCTCTTAGAACTTAACTAAGTATACCCATTGTGATAAGCCAGAGTTAAATGAAAAAAAAAAAAAAACAACAGCATTTAGCTTTCCATCTCAACTGACCAACCAAAATATTTATCCCATATTGTAGTGAGGCAGAGGATGGCAAAATATAAGCCTCTGGCATTAGGCAGATTTAAGTTTAAATCTTAGATCACCCTTTTCTAGCTGCATGACCCTAGGCAAGTTAGCCCTTTATAAGCCTCAGCTGCCTCATCCTTAAAAGGGAGCTATGAACCTACCCTTACAGAACTGTTGTTAGGAACAAATTAGACAATAAATGCTCAAGAAACAATAGTCATCACGAGCTTAGCATTTTAAACTCAAGGAAAAATTCTTAACTAGGGAAAAAAGATTCAGTTTTTAAATGTTATTTTCTAGTTGATATTTGTACCACTTACCAATTCCATATTTATTCTTATAATAACACCTCGTAAAATCGTCACAGTCACAAAGGAGCACTTTTCTTCCCCACACGTTGATGGTGGCTCCTACAGCCAGGTCACTATCTTTGTAAAATTCCTGGTCGTCTTTTCCTAGCTGAAAAACACACACACACACACACACACAAAGGAACACAGTATTGACACCACAGATCCTGCAAGAAACAAGATGCCCTTTCCCAAAGGGAAAAAGAAATTAACAAAAAACCCTCAATTACACATCATTTGTAACTAAAATCTTTGAAATCAAGTCAAAAAGCAATCAATGCTAATATTTTAAATTTTTGTTTGTAATGTAGTATTTGCAAATAGCAATGCAACGCATATACTATGAATGCATTTAAGCATGTTTATTCAATGATGAATAGTACAACGCATATTTTTTTCATAGATTCCATTCACAATCAATCTCACAAGACAAGAATATGTACCCTCATCTCACAGTTCAGATTCCAAAGAAGTAACAATGAGAATAGTAATAAAATGTGAGATCCCTCACCTTGCATTGATCCAACAGATAGCCATGCACTCGGCTCACTGCGTAGCCCCCATACACGTTGAGAACTGTCTGATCTGTTATCTCACCTGGTTGAAAGACTCCAGGTGGGCCATGCTGGAAGACAAAATCAAAACAACATGTGATAGATGGCCTTTAACCACAAAGATGGAACTGTTGAAGGGCTCAAGCAGAAAATGTGTGTTGCGTGGCTTTTCTCTGTCACATCCACCTTTCCCTATGCTTCTACACCTCCTGTAAGCCAAGTCTGCACTCCAACCATCAGGCCTTGATGAAGTCCCATCTTTACCCCTGGTCCTTCCCATCCTACTGGCCTGTCCCCAACCCAAACCTCAACAGCACCTCCCACAGGGCTAAGCCACTTTTCTCTCACTGCTATCGAGTCAGATCCGACTCACAGCGACCCCTCCTTGGGTTTCCTAGGTGGTATCACCAAGGAAGTAGATTGCCAAACCTTCCTTCTGAGGAGTGGCTGGCGGGTTTGAATTGTCAGCCTTCTGGTTCTCTAATTGCTTCATCAGAAGTCATCCTTTCTCTTCACTGAATGAACAACTCATTTCTTTCCTTTTTCCTGCTTAGCCCCCTGCCTAACCCTGAGTTCAGCAAGTACTTGCTGGCTGAGAGAGGCAGCATTGTGAGGGGGGAAAGAGCAGTAGACTGTCAGTCTTTCACAGAAACTGTAGCCTGGAGCAAATCCCTCATGCCTTGGAGGGGATCCAAGCAGTTGTGTGAGCTGCAGGAAATATCTTAATTAACTTCCATGAATTGGTAGCATCAGTTTATTACATCCAGATGAGTGATCTGAATCAACCCTGATACATGTGGCATAAAATGTAAGTTTAAATGTGTACATTGTATGGTGCATGTAGTGTAAATCAGTCACAGAAGGTAGAACAGTAAACTTGGATGCAAGTCCTCTCTTCACTACTAATAACTACATGATTTGGGCCAAGTATTTATCTTCCCGGAATGTCAGTTTCTTCATCTGTTTAACTGCAACAATAGTACTTATTCATTCCTTTCTCAAAGGATGTTGTGAGTGTCAAGGCAACACCCACTCCTATTGTATCTCTTTTCCAGGAGAATCTAAGCTTCATGAAGTAGAATGTAACCCCAGAGCTGGCACACAGTTGGCACTCAATAAATATTTGTTGAATGAATAAATAAAATGAAGCAATTTATGTGAAGGCACACTGAAAATGTCAGGTGTGTCATTATTATTTTATATTTAGCCTCTTTTTCAAAGCCAATCTTTAAAAAGGTTTTCCTGGCACCTCCTGGCCACCTGCTGTGCATTTCCCAGAGCCCCCTCTGGGACAAATACTGCCTCTCTCCACCCCCCAAGCAACACAGCAGGACTTCTGGCAGTGGGCTCAGAGAATCTGGGAGAGCCTCCTGTGAGGACCAAATGGCCAGCAGTTGTTTGCATCAGAAACGAGTGTGACAATAACCTTTTCAATAGCAGTTAAGAATTAAGTTAAAAAAAAAAGATGCTATCCACAGAACTAAAACATAACATATAACTGTGAATATATTTTTATGTTTCCTTTACAGATGTTTATAGGTCTTTATATAGTGTTTTTAGGAGCTCTGGTGACATAGTGCCTAAGGCATTTGACTGCTAACCAGAAGGCTGGTGGTTCAAACCCACCAGCTACTCCTCAGCAGGAAGATTGGGCAATCTATTTCAGTAGAGATACGGTCTTAGAAACCCAAGGAGGGGTTGCTATGAGCCAGGACTGACGACAGCAGTGAGTTCATATAGCGTTTTTAAACTATGCTACCTCATTCAGTCCTTACAATTAGCTCAGGAGGAGGGCATTTTAGAGATGGGGAAACAAGCTCAGAGAGGTTAACTGGCTTGATCAAGTTCACATAGCTATTAAGTGGCAGACCTATAATTCTAACCCAGGTCTTCTGTCTTTGTGCCATTTCTGCTACATCCAATTTACATTAACTTGCAAACAGCTGTAAATATTTGCAGAAATCAATCCACAAATTATTTTTAATATTTAGTAAATAAAATACAAAACTCTATCATTGCTTTTAGCCAGTGGCTAGTTGGTGATTGGTTGCTACACTCAGAAGTCACTCCTATGTGTATGGCTGTGTATACTGTGTATGTGGGTACATGGGTGCATATGAATATGTGTGTGTGTGTGTGTGTGTGTGTACAATCAGCTCTCTGCATCCATGAGTTCTGCATCAGCAGATTCAACCAACTGTGGATCAAAAATATTTAGGGAAAAAAAAAAGCAATTAAGTGGTCAAAGCAATCCCTCAAAGTCTAAGAAGGACCATAAAGTGCTATTTACATAGCACTCACATTGTATTAGGAGCTCTGGTAGTGTAATGCCTAAGGCATTTGACTGCCAACCAGAAGGCTGGCGGTTCAAACCCACCAGCCACTCCTCGGAAGGAAGGTTGGGCAATCTACTTCCATAAATACTGTCTTGGAAAACCAAGGAGGGGTCGCTATGACTCGGGTCCAACTCGATGGCACATAAAAACAACACCACCGCATTGTATTAGATATTTTAAGTAGACTCTAGAGATGATTTGAAGTATACAGGAGGATGTGGGTAGGTTATACACAAAAACTACACCATTTATAAAATGGACTTGAGCTTCTGTGGATTTTGGTATCCACAGGGGGTCCTGGAACCAATCCCTCAGAGATAATGAAGCATGACTGTATGTATATGTGAGTTCACAATACTGATCAACACATTAGATCTCTTCAGTAGGCTGCAGGAGCCAAAGGTCAGTGCCTCAACCCAAGGTCATAAGCAATTCTTTCACTAGCGATGTATTTACCTTCGTAAGACTGATTGTAAACTCAATGATGAGTAGGTATTTTCTCTTGCATTTGACTACTTCCTTTACTTGCCTTAAGCCCAGAATGTTCCAACTCCAATTTGTCACATCCTCTGTAGTACTTTCATAGATTTATACTGATGATTAAAAAAAAAAGGGGGGGGGGGAAGCTTTGGTAGCGTAGTGCCTAAGGCACTTGACTGCTAACCAGAAGGCTGCACGATTCAAACCCACCAGCCATTCCTCGGAAGGAAGGTTGGGCAATCTACTTCCGTAGTAATACCACCTCAGAAACCCAAGGGGGGGTCGCTATGAGTCGGGTCCGACTCGACGGCACATAACAACAACAACAACCAAAAAAAAACAGTTACCATCAAATCAATTCTGGTTCATGGCAACCTCACAAGGGCAGCACAGAACTGTGTTCCATATGGTTTTCAAGGCTGTGTGATCTTTTGGAAGCAAATCACCAAGCCTTTCTTCTGAGGTGCCTCTGACTGAGTTCAAACCATGAACCTTTCAGCCAGTGGTTGAGCACTTAACTGTATGCACTACCCAGACACAAAATAAAAGTTTTCTAAATACTTGAATTAACATATAGAAACTGCTATTACAAATTCTTAACACATGATATTCCACACAGTGACTTAAGTCTTTCAGCCCACAAGCAAACTTGGTAAGTGGCTCTTTGTCCACTGTTCACCTTGGGTAGCTTTCTCCTCTGAAGGCACAATGGCGTATCACTGCGGCCTGAGTTGGGTGGCAGCAATTCCTTGATTTCAATGGTATCATCAGACAAATAGTAATACAAGACGAGTTCTCTACGTTCCCCAAATTCCGAGGCTGTGTCATCCCACAGGCAAAAGAAACGTAAAACCTGCCTATCATAGTCAAGGAACTGTTTCCGGGTGTCGAAGGAGTGATAGGGACGTAAGGGCTTCATGCGATCTTTCATCTGCAAATGGAGAAAAGGTAAATAAGAATTCAAGGTTTTGCATAATCATTTCTGGGATGCAACCAATCAAATGACATAAAGATATCTTTTCTATAGACTATTCTGTGATATTTTAAAAAATTTCAACTCACTATGACATACATGGGAGTGCTGGTGGCTTAGTGCCTAAGGCATTTGACTGCTAACCAGAAAGCTGGCGGTTCAAATCCACCAACCACTTCTCTGAAGGAAGGTAAGGCAATCTACTTCCATAGTGATACTGCCTTGAACACCCAAGGAGGGGTCGCTATGAGTCAGGTCCAATTCGAGGGCAGTGAGTTTGTTTATTTTTTTCGTTATGACATACATGTGTATGAACATATAACCAGCTTTAATTATAAAAATACAGACAAGCCAGTATTAAGAAGCTTTTTATATTAATCATTATTTTAGTATACTATAAAATGCAAACACAACGCAAGGCACTGTTGTTGAGTCAGATCCGACTTAGGTACTAAGCCACCAGAGCTCCTTTTAGTATACTATACATCTGCAATATTTTTGAAAACTGACTTTTCCCAGGTGAAGACTTAAAAGTCTCATTTAGGAACAGGCAAAACTAATCTATGGTGATAGAAATTAGAATAGTAATGGCCTCTAGACAGAGGATTAACTGGAAAGGGTGACAAGTGAACTTTCTATGAGTGATGGAAATATTCTGTATCTTATTTTTCATGTTGGTTACTCAGTTGTTTACATTTGTCAAGCCATTGGCCACTTAAGATCTGTGCATTTGACTCTATTATATTTCAACCCAAAACATCATTTGTATTTTCTCTGCAAATTTCTATCTATATGTCCTTCTTATGCAAAGGTTTTCATGAAGGCAAAAGGGAAGGAATTTATTTAAGGTTTTATTATGCTCAAAAACTTGAGCCATTGAGGATATGAAAGCTCAATGTAAACATGAGTAGAGCAAATGGAGACCTTCTGGCTCAGCACAGAACTACTGTCTGGGTTTCATCCTCTGCCCCAGGAATCAGTAGCTTGGCAGTCTACATGGCTCTGCATATTCTCAGTCCCCATTCTATCTGACTGTAGCTAAGTAAGATCATTATATAAGGAAGTATTCGTTGGAAAGGGAGATAAGATGTATACTGCCAATTTTGGTTACCCAATCTTACTGGTAAATTCTTGAAATTTAGGTTCAGTCTTACCCAAAAGCAAAGGAGAGACCAAGTCTCTTCAGTCTTATCCTGGGTATTAAAATTAAATTCTAGGCCCTCTACTTCCATTGATTGAAAAATATTTCTTTGGCATTATAAGGCTCTACAAAATACATTATTGATTATATACCAGTGGAGCTCTTTTCAGTTTAAATGAAATTGCTTAATTTTAACTTTACATTTCAAGGCAGCAAACACTGGAGAAGTAAATGCACAAAAGTCAATATAAAAGCCTCCCATTAAACTCCTAATTTTCCACATATTTCTATATTTGTTGAAGGGTTTTCTCCTGGAGGGAATAAATGCTAAAATGATTCTGCCAATCTGAAAAGAAATTGTTTAAAACGTTTCTTGACTGTTGTTGGGACTTATTCTTAATTCCCAGCACAAAACAGAATGTTTTTTTTCTTAGAAATGTATGAAATAACACTGCTTTGTGTATTTCATATAATGTATCATCATTCAAAATGACTATCATGTCATCCAACTGTTAATGAGTACAGCCATATGCAAAGGACTGTACTTCATATGGACTCATTTCTTTTAGGTTCTCTCTATTGGTTCTAAAGACTTTGTATTTATATAGACTTTTTCATCCAGGGTATTTGGAGGAAATATAAACAAATGCAAACGAAAAACCACCTTGCAAGCCAATACACATAGGTATAATGCCACAGGGATTTCATTTTAGATATTCCAGGATCAATAATACATATTTCTCAGTAAAGCTGTATGCCTAAAACATTAAAGAATAATTCTGCTGAGGCTAGAATAATAGGCAGCAGGAAAGAGATAATAGATGAATGATCCTAAATGCAGCTTTTAACAAGAGATCAAAGCAGAATCAAAGGAGAATTTTATTCCAGATTATCTCTCTTTCTGTAAGGAAATGAATCATGAAGTTTAAAAACAATAAAAATCAAACAAAACTAATCTATGGGATTGGAATGTGAACAGTGGTTGCTCTGAGGTGGGGAGAGGAACTCTCTGAAAGAGGTACAAAGGAACTTTCTGTTTCTTGATTTCGCCGTGGGTTACATGGATGCATGCATTTTTTTAAGACTTATCCAATTGTACACTTAATTTCTGTGCACTTTACTATATGTAATCATGCTTTAATAAAAAGATAGGAGGGAAACAAAAGACAATAATGTAAAATCAGGGTAAGAATCAAGAGATTTGAGTTCAAGTGCCAGCAAGGAGACTGAATAACTGTGTGAGTTTTCACATGACATTTTACCTTTCCAGTGTTCAGATTCTTTTTCTGTAACATAAAATTTGGGCTAAGGGATCATTGAAAACCTTTCAAAAGACAACACTAACATTAATGACACTGATTATTTCCTCTCTCCACTAACAGGTGTCAGACTTTGAAGACAAGCATCCTTTTATAATGGGGATATATCCGAATCATATCTTTCCTCATTCCTCCAGATTACCTCTGCATTTAATGCCACCATAAGAGAAGCTGGGAGTCCTAAGGAAGAAGGAAAAGGTATACCCAAAGACTGGTTCAGTAAATTAGTTATAAGACACAAAGATTTTCCAGAGTTGGGAGGTATGCAACTAACATGGAAAGAGACAAGCCAGGTAAGTGTTGGCTCAACTCTGATACTGTCAGAGATCACAAAGCCTATCTAGAGCTCCTAGAGATTGTCCCATCTCAGTGGTTCATGGAAGACTCCTACTGCCTGGAAGGAAGAATCTCCATGAGGGGGAAGGTTGTGGGGAAATAGAGGAGTTGGAGGGAGGCGCGGCACGAAAGAGTAAGGAAGGCAGAGGGAGAATGAGGAGTCCTTCCTGCTCCAAGGCTGACATCCACTCTTACCTCCAGCCCAAAGGAGAACAGGACAGAGAGTAACTATGGCCCCAAAAGCTCTTTCACACCTGCCTCAGAAGCACCAATACCCTTTCCTGACTCTCCAAAAGGATTCTCATTCTGAAGGTTAGAACTCACAAATGTATTAGGTTCTTACCTCTTTCCGAAATTTCATATAAGGGTCTTCTGGGCACTTCCCTGGTAGGTTTAATTTGACTCCTATTTTCCTCAAAAAGTTTTTTGTGAATGTATCACAGTCATAAATCTTGAACGTCCGGCCATAAAAGACAATGTCTATGTTGATATTGAAATGATACGCAGTGTAAAACTGATCATCATCAGGAGGTGGGAGACAAATCCGATGACGCCGGATAGAAATTCCTATGGCATGAAATAGAATAAAATTGTTTCATTAGGCAACTACCAAGAGGTTACAATACATCCCCTAAACAATCCTGAATGCTCTTCTCCTGCAGAGAAGTGGGCAGAGCGCTGGCTCATTCTTAGAGGCAGCAGTAGTACAGTTAAACTAGAAGGGGCCAGAGGGAGCATAGGCATTGAGATGTCTAACAACCCTGCACATTATTAGAGATGTCTATGTGATATTAGGGAAGTACAGATAGGGAAAGGGGAGGATAAGCAAACTGACCCAATGAGCTGGATGCTGTTAGCAAGTCTTTTCCCAAAACAAGCATGCTTACTTTCAGCAACCAGCACTCAATGTCACCACACTAAACATAGTACTAAGTCCTCAAAGCAGATCACTCAAAGAAATGTATACTCCTGGCTCAAAAAAGCCAATAACCTTCAGTATGGTAGGTTCCAACACTGTGATTTACAGCTTTTAATAAGCATGAATGACTTCAGGCTGTTTTAAAGCCTCATGGAATCTTCTTTCCTCTACCAACTCTTGTTCTTCTTTCTCCCTTCATAGCCTCTGTCCATCTCCACTCACCACCCCTGCCAGCTGAGAGTTATCAGAGGCTTCATATGTTTAGCCTGTACTCTGGGTTTCATTCCATCTTCTCCTTCCAACCCTATGATTCCTGTTCACTTTGCCTCTGAGAATTTGGACTTAGGATCCCCAAGCATAACCAAAATGGTGGTTAGTCACTGGAGGTAAAAGAGTTCCCTGCTTTGATAAGTATCCCACACCTTATTAACCCAGTTACCCACATATTGCTGTAACCTGTTGCCAAGAATTGTATAAGGTCTGATGATGTTTCTACAAACGTATTTGTATATTCTGTAAGAATGTCCAGGTATGTAGTACAGCTGACAAGGCACAAGGTTGTGGTGACTCCTTGGCCATAGCCAGCTACCTGGAAGGAGTGAGTAGTTGGACCTGTGGGCTCAGGACCATGGTTACAGGGGACATCAAGCTCAATTCGCATAACATACTACACAAAATCATTGCTCCACATCCTACTTGGGCGAGTAGCAACTGGGATCTTAAAAGCTTGCAAGC